ATAATAGCGCCTTATATCTTCCCAGTACGCCTCCACAGAAGGTTCTAGAGTCAACCCGCTGGGGGAGTTAGTGATAGGCGGCACAGCCGCCGTTCAAGGGGCTTGGCCCGTTACAATATTAATATACTATAACATAAAGCGTGATAGCTAAACACCTGATCTGGTTAAATACTTTTTCCTCTCGTAGTTTCTTCTAGGGAGCTGCTATTTCATAAATGTATTACGCCCTAAAATCTTCCCATTTGCCCCCTTTATCGAATGAATCTTTTCTAATGGAGCTTTCTGGCATCAAGGTGGATATTTATGCGAATCTTGGCACCTAATTTATGGGTTTACCGCGTATTCGCGGTAATAGAACAGTGACTGAATCAGTTATAGCCAGTTGTTATTACTTGGCAGGCTGAGTCAAAGGTCGGTGGTAGCTTTTTGCTTTTTGTTATAAAACCTGCCTGGTATCTTGATAAAAGCTGCACAACTTGTTCCTATATTCTACTACTTTTCTACCATTAGCAAGAGACAGTCTACACACAAACACCATGCTTTCTTTCACGTTTCTGCTCGCAAGTAGTCTTGTTGCTACAAGGGCTTTTGCCGCCTTTCCTATCAGGAACCCCAAATGTCCTGATCCACACGACGAGATGCCGGGAATTATGGCCGCTCACGAGGAGTTGGCAATCATGGAAAAAAACTCAACAATCAAGTATGCAGCAATTCATGTGGATGTATATGCCCATGTCATAATGTCTTCGAAACCCAACGATGAGAATATTACTGTTGGTACTCCTTGTCTCGAAATATTCAAAGCCAAATTAGCTGACAATGTGGGTAGCTGGCTGCCATACAAGACCGAGTAAATGGCTTAAACACCGACTATCAGCTTGCCAATATTTCATTCACCTTGCAAGATGCAACCTGGGTCACTAGAGATGACTGGGGGGACGGTTCTTTGGACAAGACACCTGCTATGGATATTCGGAGATCCCTGCATCGGGGAGGTCCTGGTACTCTCAACCTATACTTTGCGAGCGAAATCCATTTCTCGGGAGTAGGACTTGACGGGGCCGGCACAGTCCCCAGTAACCTACAAACCGATAGGGCTTTGCTTGATGGCTGCGTTATCAGCAAGTGGGCTGTCCGGAATCAGAGGCTAATGACGCATGAAGTTGGGCATTGGTTCGGGCTCCTTCACACATGGGAGGACATTTGCAACTACGTTGGAGACTTTATCGATGATACCCTTCCTAGCCCGACGATTTGTCACACTAACCCGAGCGATTGCCCGAATGAGGACAATTTCATGAGCTACGGGGACTACACGAGCAGCTTCTCACCAGGCCAGCTGGTTCGATTGCCTGGCCTCTGGGCCAAGTTTCGTTCTGGAGCTAATCCGCCACGATATATCAAAATGGAGAAGAAACGTATAGGCGCCTCATCTCCGGCTGCATTGCAGACTGATGTCGAGAGACTCCCTGCGCCGGCGGGGTTTTCTTGTGGTAATTAGAGGGTGTCGATGCTAAAGCTACCTGGGTGTTGTCACGTTATGAGACTCATGTTAATTAAGCTTCTTGATACAATCATTATTCTTGTTCTTGTTCTTCCTAAACCCTAGAAACTCAAGATATTTAATACTTGCGGAATACTGCTGCCTCTAGGCAGCATAGTAAGTGGCTGCAATCCATCATGAAAACACCGGCCCAGATGAGACAGATTGAGCAAGTCGCTCGGAGTTTCACGCTCGAAATGGGTCTCCAGCCTTGCAGTCTGGCGAGATGTTGTACCCTAGGTTCAACCGCGGGTCCGATCGTGTATTTGGCGATGTCGACAAACGCGCTGCGGACCCGGTCCGTTAAGCCCTTGCAGCCTGCTGCTGTTCAAATGCGGCCAACTGCTTGACATATAAAGACTCAAACGTCAGGTTCGGAGGAAACGTCGCTTGGAAATTAATGGCTGGACATGAAGACAAGCTGCGGGGGGCTACGAGGGACCTGCGAGAACAACAACAAGAACAAGAAGAACAATGATCATATGATTACCCCCTGTGAACCGACAGCCACTTGTGACTTGTCACAGCCCATTGTGGAGTCGGAGTTGGGACATGGGCCGGGGCAGATGGCTGTTGCGTCAAGTGGCAGGCAACCTTTCCGTTCTTGTCAAAACTACCCGAAAGGGAGTATTTGCTGTTATCCTAAAGCTCCGATTGGCCAAATGGAGGCCCCGGCGAGGGTACCGGCTCCTCTTTATTGAACGAATACGTGCGGCTCTCTTTTTAATATTGAAAAAAATCATTTCGTCCGAATCTTGTTTTCGTCTAAGCTGAGTCGTGCTAACCGACGTTATGGCAGCTTTTCACCAAGACTGACCAAGTTTGCTTGCTCTATCACAGAGGCAGTTTATCCGACAACATGATCTTGCTTCTCTATTCCCTCCTTTTGACGCTGGTACACTGCGGAATTATACAAATTCAGTTGTGCAGCATGTCTTCAGTTTATCCCCAGAAATCAGATTCTACCTCTGCTACAAAAATCGAATTTCACCTGCCGCAAATAATGCATGATCTTTTGATAAGGCACATGAAACAACATGTTAGTAACCGGCCTGTGTACTTGCAGTGTCTGCGGGATAGAAACCCCGCATATTAGAACAATCTTGTTCAATATCACAACTTTTTTCGTCATTTCCAGTCCTTAAGAGTGCCACATTACCATTCTGTATTAAAGGGCTAATTGAAATTTGGTACAGCGTGCGTTTCCTGTCTTTACAGAAGAGCCAACATACTCGATGCGTATAAAATAAAATAAGCTATTATCAGAGCTGCTGAAAAATTATCAGTAGGCCTACATTTTGGCTCTTTGTAATGCGACAATCATATGGAGTACCTGCAGCGCAACAAGACGTATTCAAGGGGGCAGAAATATTTCATGCACAATGACAAGGTTGTAGAATCGGCATACTGTCACGGTCTAAGAGCACGAACGAGGTCTGGTGCGACTTGGATGAAGCGATTGTTCACAAGGAGAGTAAGAGCTTCCGAAGCAAGTTCTGACTCGAGCAAAGTAAGTCCTGAAGTGGGGCCGTTCCCTAACACATACCAGTCAGTAGTTGTTGGATCATCCCATGTTAAATTCCATCTCCATACCAAACGTGACTCGTAACGGACTGCATAAAACCTTAGTGAGGATATTGGGACTGGGGGATCGGACCTGGCTGGTTGCGTGAATGACTGGCCTTTGCCGCGCCGGTGGGAGGGAAGCATGACTTGATGCTAATCAACAGAGATTGTAGGTTATATCATGAGTCGTACATAGAGGCAGTGCTTTTGCGTTCTTTCTTACTACCTCCTACCTAGGATTATAGTTGTATGGGTTCACAATGTGCTGCAAAGGCGCCGCATAAATGCGCCAAACTCGATGCCCTCCGTCGGAACAACCGAATGATGTGTTATGATGAACCCAGAGCAAAATTCAGGAGCCATGTGAATCCCTGAATACGTGCTATGCAGCTACACCAGCATCAGATTACGTGGCCAGACGGCCCTCACTGCTCAGCCTCTCTAGCATTGAAATCAATGTATTATCCGGCCATAATATTACTCTCGTATCGAACATGCTGGGTTAGTCATGGTTATGCACGCGCAACAGTACCCTGTCCTCGTACAAGGAGTATGGATTTGTTTTGACGAATGTATATAGGTCTGGACTTAGTATGTTGCTCACACTATAAATCAGTGAATTCAAGCGCCCCGCCGTTGCCTGAGCCTGCCCCTGCCTAGCCTTGCCTAGCCGTGCCTCGACGGCGAAATATAGTTGCCTAGCCTGCCTCGGCAGCAAACTTTTGCTGTCAGCCTGCCTCTGCCTCGTTGGGGGGGAGGACGTTAGCCTGCCTCGACAAAGGGGGTGGCTGGGCTGCACCGAAATTACAGGTGGTTATGCCCTCTCCAGGACGGAGTGACTTGCTTTGCCACCTGCTCCCGAAAGCAATTAAAGTACCTTTTTTTTTTTTTTTTTTTTTTCCAATTACGGCTGGTTCAAAGAGGGCCAGGAC